ATGAGTGTTGCTGGGAGCATTATACAGGCTAATACATAATGTGCCAGGCAAGAAGTATGTGCTATGAAAGTGTCTGTTACTATTGTTGCCTGAGTGACTATGGTACTGTCCTAGGTCACTCTGTAACAGCAGCTCAATTCATCCTAATTAACACAGTCACCAAATTGCCGTAGGTTCCTTTGGAAATAGCAAAAAATTAACTATTCGTATTACATATATGTAGTAACCTGGGTCAACGTATGCCAATGTACTAATAGCAGTTAGCCATGGATAAACAAGGGAAGAACTGACATTCAGAGAATGAACTATAAGAGAGAAAGAAGGGGACTGAATTCAAGAAAGTCTATTGCAAACAAGAAAGATGACTGCCTGGATAGGGAGGAAGGAAAGTGCAGTTCAGTATCAGAGAGAAAATGTTTTTAATTTTTAACCAAATCTTTCAAATATTTTCCTTTACACGTCATTTTCCTTTGGTTTTCTGTTCCAGATGTGAAATGTCATTTAGCTTAGAGTGTCTGAGGCCTTCTTTTCTATTCTAATGAACAATATCAATCATTATAATTATACAATTAAAATCAGGGAATATAAATCAATCCTTGTTACTCGGTCTTCAAAATGTCCTTGGCTCATTTATACTAAAAACTAATAAAATACAGAGAAAAACTTAAATGCCTTTCAACAGGACACTAGTTAGATAAATTACATTATATCTATATGATGTAACAATTACAAGGAATGAGTCAGTACTTTTTGTAAGGTTTTGGAACGTATATTCCAAGGAGTTTATGTAGCTTTTGCTATTGCTCCTTAAATGTGATCCACTTTCCCTGTTTTCTAAATGGTTTTGTTCCTGTATCTGCATACATAACCCAGGAAAGCTACTGAATTTTTACATGTATCTTCTAAACAGTACTTCAAGAACTTTTATCTTGTCTAAGACACATCTTCTTAACTGACTTGCTGGGATTTTCTACATAGACAGTAATATCCTCCACAGATACTGACAGTCACTGAAAGAGTAGGCTAAAGTTAAGACCCTTCCTTTCCCAGGCTTATGGATCTGCCCAGAGCTTTCAAAATGATGTTACTGAACAATGGTTGAGCAAGGCATTCTCTGACACTTCATTACTGTGTGTGATGTTGGCTATTGATCTGAGTTGGATAATATCCAGCTTGCCTGGGAAATATTCCTGGATTCCTTAAGAAATTTTATCTGAAACTAAGAATGATTTTTATTAAATCTCTTCGTGGCATTTAGCAAGGGACTCATTGGTTTTCTTCCTTTGACCTATTGTTAAATTCTATTAATTAAAATCTTAATATTACAATGAACTTACTTTTTAAAAATAATCCTTAATTGTCATGAAAAATACAGCTCAATTCAATTTTCTAATATTTTAGGACTTTTATATTTTCGTGAGTGACAATTATCTCCAGTTTCAGGTTATTCCTACCAGGCTTTGATTTCAGAACGAAGCTGCTTCTAAACTTTCCCTTTTATCCTATGCTCTGGAAAACAAAGCACAGGAAAGTTTCTTGAAAATTAAGATCAAGTCATCAGTGTCTGGGGTCTTCACTGAAGGCAACCTCACCTGCAGATTTTCTACTCTTTAGGTCAATTTTAGTTACTCACATTTGTCTAAAATATTGTCCATTTAAATCATATTTTGAAATGTATTAACAGGACTTATCTTTTGCATCCATTTGGATTGGATGAACTTCCTCAATTTGTTTTGCAAGAAAAATAACACTGTGTTTCCATGAACTTCTCCTTTTTAGTCAATGTTTACAGTGTTATCTATCTTTGCTCTAGTATTTATGACATACTTCTTATTATCTAACCTGTATGAAAAAATCCCTGCTGTCTTGTTTTAAACACTTGTTCGGTATAATACTGACTCTTCTGAGATGGGACTAACAGCTATACATCTGCCAATCTATTTAGTTTCAAGCTTTCCGTCCTGCTGTCTTAAGAGTCTCCAGAATGTATCAGCTACTTATACTCTAGAACCCAACCTGAGATTCTTCTCCTTTTAGTCAGAGTATTTTATCCACTTAGATATCTTATTACTAAAACTGATTTACTGCTTTTTGCTTTGTATTCAGCACTCTCAGGATTTCTGTGCATCTGTGAAGTCTCCTTGCTTTTCTAGAACAATAAATAGATCTCTTCAAGATTTTTTCTCAAGGGAAAAAAGTACATAATTTTATATAGAATGTCGAAGTGTTCACAGTCTCTGAACTCCATCCATGGATTCCTATGGTTCAAGAGATCCCACACTAAAGATCCCTGTTTCAGATGTTAATTTTACATTTTAAAACCCATATCTGAACCACTATTTCTATAATTATTTTAGAAATGCAAGAATAGTGTAATATTCCTAAGAATAGGAACTCCAACAATATAAATAATATAAATTATATGTAATATAAATATTATAAACTTTAGTTTATTTGTGTAAAAGACCCAGTTTGCTATAACTGAGGATTATGTATCTTTGGCCAAGAGTTTGTAGATGTATTTCAAAAGAATATTACAATTATCTAGTGTTACATAATTAATAATTTGTAATGTTTAATATAATTATTCTGCTACCATGTATTCTTAATTCATCACTGGCTGAACTGGAGTTATATTTCATATGATTACTTCAGAAAGGATACCTGGATAATCTACTTCCATACCATTATATACCGAAGAATATGTCACCTTCACATACAGAAGGAAACTAATAAGTTTTCAGAAATCTTGAATCAGGACTCTTCCCTTCAAATCTCTGTAGACGCTGCTTCACTATCTCTTGGTATTTAATGTTCTAGAGACTAAGTCTCAAGGTCAGCTCAGTTCCTTCATCAACAAATGTTACATGCACACAATCTGTGTCTAATAGATGCTGAGGATAAAATGAAGGGAAAAAACAACAGTCCTATCCTCATGGAACTTATATTCTAGCTGAGGAAGGTAAAAAATAATGAAAACTGTGGGTGCCTGGGTGGCTCAGTTAGTTAAGTGCCCGACTTTGGCTCAGGTCATGATCTCGTGGTTCGTGAATTCGAGCCCCGCGTCGGGTTCTGCGCTGACAGCCCTGAGCCGGGAGCCTGCAGCCTGCTTCGGATTCTGTGTCTCCCTCTCTCTGCACTTGCCCCACTCATGCTCTTTCTCTCTCTCAAGAATAAACATCAAAAAAAAGTAATGAAAACTGTGATAAACATAATTAAGCCTGATACATGAAAAAAAATGGTAAACAAAAAGAAGGTATTTTCCTTGTGTCTGAACAGTTGTTGTTAAAACCCTCCTCTCACATCTTAACCACGAAGGCTTGTTAGTCAATGTAAATGTCCATTTTTACTTTAGTGATCCATTAGTCTGAGATGAAAAAGAAAAGGAGCCCTCAGGAAAATATCATCTCTGTGTCATTTTTTCCCCATGTTTGCTGAATTCACTGCACTAGAAGTCAGTTTGCTCGACCTATGTGATTATTCTGGACACTGAATAAAGAACACTATGGGGTGTACCCTATATCCTATCCTCCTCCCAGTGTTAGTACCTGCTATATCGACAGAAGTCTCCCCAGCTTTCTACCAGTTGCAACCACCACTTAAACCCCTGTAATTCTACACTGAGATACAGGACAGAAAAGGCTTCTAACTGCTCCTTGACTGTCCCTCCAAATAGGTGCTACTGGCACCTCAACTTGGAGTCTGAGAAGTTGCATTTACAGAAGGCTGAGTAGGGAGTTGATGCTCTTCTTTAATATGTTCGTATCTCCACCATGTTTGTTGCATGTTCCATATTTGATTTTGAGTTGTTTTGTTTTGTTTTGTTTTTTTAAGTAGGCTTCACGCCCAGTGCAGAGCCCAACGTGGGGCCTGAACTCATGACCCTAAGATCAAGACCTGAGCAGAGATCAAGAGGCAGTCGCTTAAGGGACTGAGCCATCCAGGCGCCCATGCATGTTCTGTTTGTTTCATGAGAATGCTTCTTTTACCTTGTTTTCACTTTTGGTACAGCTCTTACCCTATTTTTAAAGTCTGTGGTAATTTAAAATGCAATGGGAAAGAGAAATTAACTGTTTTCACTTCACGGTCTTACTCAAGTCCCTGACTTAGTTGTAGAATTTTAAACCTTTTAAAGGAAGTTGCTGAGTAATCCATTTTGATATTTTGTGTGGACTAAACTTGTACTTTAATAATAAAATGTTTTTTTAAATAATATCTTAACAGTATACTCTGTGGCATATACCACTAATAAATATATATCAAGAATAATAAAATTAATTATAATTACCTGGAAAATCTCTTAAATCATTTATTTCAAGTAACTGCTTTTAAATATAAAACATCTTCCATTTGTTTTTGCAAAAAAGTAACTGACAAGAAAATACTTTAGAAATTCTATCAATAGCCTAGACTACATTCTCTTTTCCATTTTGCTAGGTCTTAACCCCCCCCCCCAAAAATCTTTTTCCCCACATTAAGAAATTAAACTCTTACTTCTTTTACTATGTTCTCAGCATTGTACTGAAAACAACAAACAGCCAACTTCTGATCATTTCATTATTTTCACTCGGGTAAGTCATGTGCAAGTTTTACTTAGCATAAACCATAACATTTTTGGCGATTAGGTATTCTTGACTTTAAAAGAATGAAGGCTCATCAAAAAGATATAAACGTAGGCCCAAATATAATTACCTAAACATTTAATGTTACGTTCTTATCCTGTGAAAATTTATTTAAACTATGAAATAGTGCTCCTATATGTAATGCATAAATTTTTTCAAATTCGAATTTACATAAATGTAATATTCCACACTACTTCCCTTAATTATCAGACTTCAATTTCTTATATTTAAAGAAATATTTAACTAAAACATAATATGAAAGTTTACTGTGTGTATGTAGGCCTTCTCTTATTGAGGAACTAGAAACAAGAAATAAAAAGTCAACAGTCCCACAATTCCAAGAACCACTGAAAGCCAGCAGTAAATATGTCATCTTACCTTCAGGGGGTAAACTGTAGAGCTGGGCCACAGGCCCAGTCACAGGAATAACCGGCAACTGGAAATGGAAAGAACTTTTAATCGTTGGGAGTGGCAGGCGATTTTTAGGAAAACACTTCCTCATTATTAGACTGGAGGTGTTGACAAGAGGATCAAGGGTCCTAACTGCCAAACATTCCTGTTTTTTAAGAAAACAAAAAAAGAAAGAGAAAAGAAAAAAGGTAATATGCCTTTGGTGAATAACTGAACCAATTTTACATTACTTCATAAAGTAATACATCAATAAATTTCAAGAGACAAATATCACAAAAAAAAGTATTTTTTTTATTATAAAATAGCTTTGGCTATTCAGAAGGGTCTCTTCATAAATAAGAATTTCATATGGCAAATTTAGTTAATACTTTTCTCAAAATATTTTAACTAAGCAAAAATCAGTACCATCTTTGGCACCAAAGTCACTGAAATATATCAACCCCTTTTTACCCCTGGTTTCAGTTACCCATGGTCAAGTCTGGTCCAGAGCCAATGATCTTCCTTCTGACCTAAGGTCAACTGTCAGAAGGTCAATATTAGCCCTAATGCTACAACACGACATAACTACATCACTCACCTCCCTTCATCTCATCACACAGGCATTTTATCATCTCATGTCATCCTAAGACAGATGAGTGCAGTACAGTAAGATATTCTGAGAGAGAGGGACCACATTCACTTTTTATTACAGTATATTGTTGTAGTTGTTCTATTTTATTATTAGTTGTTAATCTCTTACTGGGCCTAAGTAGTAAACTTTATGATAGGTATGTATAGTATAGGAAAAAACACATCATATATATAAGGTTGAGTACTGTCTCAGGTTTCAGGCATCTAAGCCAGGGGGTCTTGGAATGTATCCCCCACAGATAAGGGGGGGCTACTGTGCCAAGTAATATTTATGAGTAAAATTTATAAATATAAATATTTATATTTACTTAGCAAGCCTAGGGCATAAAATAAAAATTCTTTTTAATGTAAGGGAAGAAGGGAAAAAAAAGCATTAAGTAAAAAACACAGTAAGAGAGAAAGGTGTAAGAAATAAAAAGGAATGTGCATTAGCTAAGCCTGTCTCAGAACTGTATCAGTTATCATACAATAGCACCTCGATAAGCTGGCTCTTCAGCTTATAAAAAAAACAAGTAGCCTGAATACCACGATTTTAAGTTTCAATAGTTTTAATTTGCTGTCCTGGTATCTGATCTTGAGAAGGGCTAATGAACAGGGAATTTGAATCTATAACATATAACACTGTTATTATTATTACTGACAGCTGGCATTTAGATAGCACTTTGATATCCCATAAAATTTTCAATACAAATTTTCACATCTAGCCTGTCGGAACAGATGAGAGATTAAGGCTCAGACATGTTAAGTGACATAAACAAAGCCACTCAACTCTTTCTAATATACCAATTATCCATCACTGGCTATATTAGGAATAGTAAATACAAGTGCATATGATTGATGTGGAAAAGAAAAAGCTTAGGGTAAACGTAAATCGTGTGTTCAGATATCTTAACTACTGCCACGTAGAAAGAGACTTGTGTGTCAGACCGAGAGGGCACAACCAAGATAATGGCTGCAATTTTCAAAAAGACAGATTTCTTTCTAATAATTATAACCTTCTAAAAACAAAAGGGTTGCACTGTAACATCCCCATTGCCCAGAGCTGACAGTCCTCTTGCTAAGCCTTTTGTCAAGAAGGTTTATGGTTAAGCTGGCTGGCAGGACTAGGATTCCTAACTCCAGGGTTCACTTTTGTACCTTCTCTATGTAAAAATGCTCTATCCAGAAGGAAAACATTGACAGCACTCAGAGGCAACAGAACTATCTTACCAGCTGTAAAGGATCCATAAATACCTTATGAGGGGAACATGCAAAACTGAGTGCAGTCAACTGCACATCTTAGAAAACATGGCTATATGGAGTCCCTTCCTGCCCAGTGGATGGATTTAGACATACATCGTCCTTTTTACCTATGAGGAAAAAATCTTATATTGTGGAGATATGCACCGGGCACTTTCTCCAACTCACTGTGAGGTCACGTGAGAAATGACTGCACCTTTTGGTTTTCAGATTTTTTTCTTAAACATATTTATCATACTTTTGTGAGTATTTATAGAAATACTAACTTTCTTAAGAACGAAATATTAACACATAACCAGGAAGAAAACAAAAAACTCACTTGTGAAGTGTTATAGAGAATTTTCATCCCATTGGCATCTATAAATGCTTTTCTTCCCAACTTGATGTTTGTAACACTTTTTAAACTCTGTAAAATTCCTTTCCGAATGAGCATGTTTCTATGCCGGTTATCATGGCGGTGCCAATCTACATAAATTGTTAAAAGGACTTGGACATATCCTCTGTCTACAGCTCTCCTGGCGTTTGTTTCTTTAACAAAAGAAAATTGAGAAAGAACATTTTTTAAATGACAAGAGAAACTGTTCGAATAAATCAAATTAAAAATACCGCTACAATCTTGTAATGAGTTCTTACAACTTTTTTTCCAAAAAGAAAAAATATGTAGGAGCCACACATTTATTCTTTTTATCTAACAAAATAAAAGGTTCAGATGACTACATTTTCCAGAAAGCTGCCCAATATATTGTTTTATGGTTAATAAATATCAAAATATCTTTAATACAATTAGGGCTACAACTTTTTAAACGTGAATACTAAAGTTTCATGTAGTTTAAAACTTAAACCAACTTTGATTACAGTGAATATATAAGCCTTTACCTTACTAGCTGTGAGTATGATTTTGTTAAAAGACATTATCATTATTGTAAGTCCTATCATAAACCTTGTGTTTCCACTGAAATTAACTCCATTGGATTGTAGCTTCAATTAATACTATAATACAGTATTACAATCTATATGTGTTTCCAATGAAATCAACTGCTTCAATTACCCCCACAACTACATAAATATCCATGCAATAACAGTGGTAAGTTAAAAATACTTATACAACTTGGGAGCGCCTGGGTGGCTCAGCCAATTAAGCATCAGACTCAACTACAGCTCAGGTCATGATCTCACAGTTCCTGAGTTCGAACCCCACCTTGGGTCTGCGCTGACAGCACAGAGCCTGCTTGGGATTCTGTCTCCTTCTCTCTCTGCCCCTCCCCTGTTTGCTCTCTCTCTCTCTCTCAAAAGAAAAAAAAAAAAATACTTACACAACTTTTAGTAAATGTTTTAGAAATGTAAGGAGCACATTACTGCTTTCTGATCATTAATTGTTTAATGTAATAAAAACTACATTAAAGAGCTTTTTTGTAAATAGTCACTTTTACTGGGGTAGAATTAACAGAAATCTACAAAGTTGATCTACTTTATTATTTTTAAAGTGTTACTATTTTAGATTATTAACCAAAAGGGTACATTTCACTAGAATAGCAGTAGGGGAATCCTATCATAGCAACATCCTGAGCCACCCGTCGCCACATAGGTAGGCCATTGATAAGAGCACAAAATAATGTGGAATACCAACCCATTGATTGGTTGGTATTTAATTATTTAATTACTTAGCTTCTTTAATTACAAAGAAATTCCAATCTCTTCCTAAGTTTACCGCCTGCCTCATGGCATAGGCACTAAGATAACAGTAATGTTCTGCTGCTTTTAGTTACCTGAAAGAATTACTACAGCTTCCAAATGTGCTAATACGTACCTAAAACATAAAGATACTGAGATCAACAAACTTATTAATGCCCTATCAGAAGGCATTAGAGAGCTGGAAGAAATTCATGTGGGGAGTGAAGCCTTCTTGTGTAAAAGCTTTAAAAACCTCTATTGTGTCTTGAAGAGTTTGTCGGCCAAAGCTGTGGCTATTTACAAAATCAGTTCAATAGTTTTGACTAACAGGAGTTTCGTGTACTATAAGGGAATACATACTTTGTTTACACCACCTGGAATATATAAGCCTTTCCTTTCGTTTACTGTCTGTGAATACGATTTTTCTTACAAGACATTATGATCACTGTAACACCTATTACAAAACGTGGTTTCCACTAGAATTCCCAACAGCCTAAATGGTATTTATATGAAATAATTTAAATTCTTTATTAAAGATCAAATAAGAAACCTGCCCATAATTCAAACACAGGTGCTGAGTGAAGAGAAGTGAACAGAGCTATCTGCAATCTGCAACTGAGCACAACTAAAAAGTTTAGTAAAGGGCTTTTTATTCATGTGTTCAGGATACCTAACTCAAAATCAGCCTATGTCTCTTCTTCCCTCTCTGGTTAAAAGAAATTCAGGTTCCCCTTCAGACTGCAGCATCTCATCTATACTCTAGCGATGGCACCCAAGTGCCTGTCATTCTGCACTGGGCATGAATCCAGGTTCTTTGCTTTACACTCACTCAGGCTTATTACAGTAATCTCATTTACCCTTTTAAAGTAAATTACTGCACCCTCCAAAAAAAGCAGCTAAAAAAAAAAATCAATGGGTAAGAATGTTCCAAAATGCCACAGTGCATTTAAAAACATGCAGTGTGCTACTAAATATGCATTTAAGAATATGCAGTGTGCACTATCCTTCTAGTGCCATGTGCCATATGAAAACCTGTTAGATAGGAAGTAGACTCATCCTAGTCACATTTTTACCTGATGGGGTAAAAGGATATGTTTGCCCACCATAGTCCTTTGAAGGAAGAGGGAGTAAAAGGAAGAATACTTTTTAAAATGGAAGATACCAGATTTCAGTCATCTTAACCAATTCCTACAAATAATTGGAACTTATGAGGGCATTTTTACTGACTTAGTGATTTTGTCATCAGTGATTCTGAAAATTAGTAAGCTTCAGTTTTAATAGCTATTTTAATCTATTCTAAATCAAAAACGTATGCCTATATTAATTTAAAAATTAATCTTTAAATAACAATTTGAACCACAAAGTCAGGGCACAACAAAGCAAGGCTACAACTATCTTTGAAAATTAACCCAAGTATTCTGATCTTGGTCTAAAGTTTATCCTATCAAATATGGAAATAAAGCTACATGGCTAATCTAATTGAGTACTACACATTTCATTTCAAAGATAAAACGGTTAACTGAATTTTATATTCTCTGGTATGTAATACTAACACTTAAGTGACTTTTTAAATAAATCATTGCCAAACACCAGATTTTCAAACAATTAATCATTTGCTACTGTTCAAATGAACAACTCTGGTCATTCAAATCTAAAGGCAACCTAGTCGTACCCTTGATTAGACAGTTTTGGGGGAAAATAAGATAGAAAGCCATAACACATATCCTTAGGACTAAATGTTACTGTGGTCAAAACGTTAACTTAGTCAAGCAATGAGACTGGAAGTGCTAACAAAAATTACTAATTAAAAAGCAGATACTGAGTATCTTAGAGAAAATATATAATGTAGATAAATTACTTTCCAAAGGAACTGTATCATGAGACACATTTACTCCAAATGCTTAAATTCGAAGATCAGAAAACAGTTGCTTTAGTTTGTAAATGAATTTAGGAAACTGTAAATTTACATTAAGTCACTTTTTAATGATATAAACTTGAATTTGATAGAAATAAAATTTCTAATAGGAGGTTTCTACATGAAAATTGTGTGTTCGATGTAGTAGAGACAGAGTTGTTCGAAATATTTTCATAGTAAATATCCTCAATACCATGTTACCTTCACTTTTTAAAAGACGATACTTAGGTAATAGTCACATATCACTTTCTTCTATTGACAAGATTTTATGTTTACATAATGAACTAATAAAAAGGAACCCCATGTACTTGAAAAAATTCCATAAGTGTACTGAACTATACTATATAATAGCTCAATAAACATAAATGACATTAGCTAGGACATATATCAATCAACCATATGAAAAATCAACTTTGACATTTCATTATCACAAACCAGCTTTATAACTACAGACTAAATCTACATTTCGAGTTTCTTTAACATAGTAGAATACTTGGAAAAATAGTATCTAGTATTTCTAGTATTTAAAAACTTACTTGATTTTAGCAATGCAGCAAGAGTGTCTAAAGCAACCCTGTCAACGTGAGAAAACACAAACAACAACAAAACTAGTAAAATTAATCTACAATAGTAAATTCAGACATCTTTTCAGATAAGTAATTATTATCTATTCCAAAAGTCATTCCTGTTATAGTCAATTACATATGGTCTTTCTCTGTATGGACCTCTCCCTTTAGGTTAAAATCGAATAGGAGGAAGATTGAAATATTAATAGGCAAGCACCAAAAAATATTTTTAAGGAAGAAAATTAACAACATTTTAGTCTTTATATCAGAGATTAGATGAACAGACTCAATTATTGTACTTGTATCTGACCCTGACAGTTCACAAAATAGCAATATTAAGAATCAGAGGCCTTGATTCACAAAAATTTTAAAGAAGTGTTAACACAAATAAAATTCTTAACTACAAAACTCTACAGATGTTCATAGTTACCTGACTTAAAATTATTTTAGCTCTATCACACAATAATCCTAATATTTAAAGTGATAACAAATGTAAACTATTTTTAGAACTGGGAGGTTAGGGGGGAAGTATGAGACGTTAGCATTTTTCAGCCATAAGGCATCAAAGAAAATAATGAACCTAATTAATACCTCAAAAACTCTTACTGCCTATTAAAGGACAGAGGAATTGCCCAGAGACTTAAAAGTACTTATATTTTCTTTCAACATAAATACTCAAATACACATAGTAAAATCAACTGCCATTAATCAGCTTTAAAAATACACAGAACATCACTGTGGAAAATCCTAGAATCAAATACTTTTTTAAATAAGTTACTGAAAACTTGGCACTTGATTTCAGTAACTTTAAAAATATAAGGCTACATACAGCATACAGTACCTCTTAGTAAGACTTCAAAAACTATCATTAATTTGCATAAAAATATGCACTTTGTCAAACTTAAGCACGTCGCTCATCATTAAGCATTTGTTGAATGCCTACTAGACACCCAGAGTAGCCAGTTTCTTCATTGGGATCAAATCAGCAAACTTCTCTCTTCCACACTTTTACAGTCTAGATACTGTGATAGAATGTACACACCTGTGAAAAAACTACTCAAGAAATGAAAACCAGAAACAAAGCAATGAAGGAAAAGCTGCACACATTAGTGTAAAGGCAACACGGAATGCCCAGAGTATTTGTTTAAAGGTAAAGAGCACAGCTGAGTGGGAGACTGAGGATGGATACTGGTTCATGGTAAAATGTGCAGCAATGATCTAGGACTAGGCACAGAGTAAGTGCTCATTTATAATAAGTGCTCATTAACAGCCATACTTTGGTTTATTGACACAAATAAAGCAACGATATAAAGCTTTATTTAAGATGACATTCATAAAAAGGAAAACAAAAGCATATGCTTTAAAAAATGCTACAAATTCGTACTCGTTATTTTCTCAAAACAATGTGAAGTTTTCATAATGGTGAGTTAAAATTAAATGAAAATTATAAAATTAAATACTGAATTTTCATAGCACTAAATCATCAGTAAGAAACGTTCCATAACCTCATAATTATGTAATAAAATGTACACAAGACTGTAAAACAGAAATAAGGATGGCTTTGAAATTGGTCAAAATTAAAACACAGAACTAAAGGGATACTCCAAGGGAAATGCCAATACGAAGTACAAAATAGAAAAGAAGAGCTGATAAGTGCCAGAAATTATTATAGGTGCCTCATATATGTGTTTTCTAGTTAATTCTTAAAACAATCCTGGTCCATAGAACTGGCACATTTTATGGATAAAGAAACCAAAGATTTCAGAATATAATGTGCCTAGGGTCCCATAAAAACTAGGTGCTATGAAAAATGAGTAATACAGGCCTCTTGTTGAGAAAGAAAATTATGAAATCAGAAATACTGGTTTCCTCCAAGAAAGATGTTGAAATCCTAATCCCCAGTACCTCAGAACGTGACCTTATTTGGAAACATCGTCACTGCAGGTGTAATTAGTTTAAATGAGATCATACTGGAGTAGTGGCCCTTAATCCATCATGATTGGTGCCCCTATAAGAAAAGGGGAGACTATCTGAAGACAGACACACAAGAAGAGAACACCACGTGAGGAGAGAGGCCAAGATTGAAAAGCGGCAGCTACAAGCCAAGAAACACCAAAGACTGCCAACAAACCACCAGCTAGAAAGCGGGGAAGGATTCTCCCACAAAGGTTTCAGAGGGAGCAGTGGCCCTGCTGAAAGGGTGATTGTGGACTTCCAGCCTCCAGAACTATGAGACCGTAAATTTCTGTCATTTGAAGCCACAAAATTTGTCCTAGGTACTTTGTTACAACAGTTCTAGGAAACAAATACAATCACTTAGCTGCAATCACTTGCAATGACTTAATCTACTGTTAAGTCTTTATTCAAAATATAAAAATCCTAGATTACTGTTAGAGAAACAGTCTTTCTTTCTTTGAACCAAATAAAAGTGTCTCTGACAGTTTCTAATCCTTAAATTACATGTGTTTTGGGTTCATGTTTATTCTTCAATACTGGCAAAACTGGGATGTGAACCCAGTTCTTTCTGCTGCCAAAGCCCATCATGCTTGTTCCACAGCTGCACTACATTAAAAGAAATTATGAAGTTCAGTGCAAAGTCCTCTTGATGTTTTTACCAAAATGTTATTTAAAAGGTTATTTTTAAAACCTTCAGCACAAAAAAATTCTGGAATTCTCTGACACGTGTAAGTCAATACAAATTTATAATATAAAACTTACAAAAGAATTTTAGAATAACAGATTTATTGAAATGCACAGTTTATATTATGTTAACTGATTAGAATTTTTCAGTTTCACTATTTTATACTTCCTCATATATTTTCCCAATCTTCCTATGTCCCAAACAGAATAATACAACCAACAATGAATGGCTTAAAAAGCTGCCTATGGCTTATTCCTTTAGGAGCAGTAAAGGAAGAAAGCTTTAGCTCCAGGTTCTCATGAAGTCACATTTCCTTTATATTAGGGGCTCAATCCTTATCGGGACATTCAAGAACCCATTGCGCCCTAAGTTGCTTCCTTCTGGATTAACAGTGTATATATCTAAAACCTAAAATTGGAAACGGAAGGAAATCCTCAAGGGCCGCACTACCGTTCAAACATAAATAATAACCCTAATCTTATTCCTCTAAACATGGAGCATTATTTCAGAGGAGGAAGAACAGCAAAACAAATGTTCTATATGTCAAAATTTTATAATTAAGGGAGAGACCCTAAGATTATTAAAAATGATAAAGACATCGAGATACTGATGCTCAGCCAATGAATTGTTTATTGTTTTTAAAGTAAAAATAAAGTAAAAAATTTGTTTTTTGTTTTTAAATATAAATACAGGAAGGAATGAAGGGATAATTTAGATAGCTCTATTCCTTGCTTAGAAGTTTATACCCACTATTTCTACATAATTTTGGATATACTCCCATATTGGATATTCTAATGACATTTGTGAAATGTTCTGTTTCTCCTAGGAACATTTTATATTAGATTTGGTAACTGGTTAGAATAGACTAATGTAGACTTTAAGAATGAGATCAAAACCATGAGATAAAAGATAAATTAAAAAGTACTTTAGGAGCGCCTGGGTGGCTCAGTCAGTTAAGCATCCGACTTCAGCTCAGGTCATGATCTCGCCATCCATGAGTTCAGGCCCCACGTTGGGCTCTGTGCTGACAGCTCAGAGCCTGGAGCCTGTTTCAGATTCTGTGTCTCCC